TTAGCCTCTGCACGGCTTTTACACTGTCCACGACAGTGATGTATTCGATGGACTTGATTTTATCGGGGTTGATCTCGATCCCCCGATTCGACACCATGAAGCCAAGGAACTTACCCGAACCGACCCCGAAAGCACATTTCTCGGGGTTGAGCTTCATGTTGTATTTCCTTAAAATCTCGAACGTTTCCTGCAAATGAGCCAAATGGTCCTCTGCGCGCAGGGACTTAACTAGCATGTCATAAATATAAACTTCCATTGATTTACATATTTGTTCTTCGAACATTTTATATACTAAGCGTTGGTAAGTAGCTCCTGCATTTTTTAGCCCGAAGGGCATTACATTATAACAGTATGTTCTGTACTTGGTGATAAATGAAGTCTTTTCTCGGTCCTCCGGGTTCATTTGGATTTGATTGTACCCGGAATGGGCATCGAGAAAAGTAAGGATCTCGTGGCCGGTCGTGGCATCGATCATGCGATTGATGTTAGGCAGCGAAAAAGAATCTTTAGGGCACGCCTTGTTTAAATCCTTATAATCTACATATATTCTAAGTTTGTTCCCTTTTTTAGGGACTACAACTACATTGGCTAAACATTCGGGATATTTCACCTCCCGAATGGACCCTATTTTGAGAAGTTTAGTTACCTCGGGTCTTCTCTTTTGCTTCACCGGTTTGAACCTAGGGTTCAGGCTTAGCCGATGCGTCGTTGTTTCCGGTGGGATCCCTGTCATCTCTAAATGGGACCAAGCAAAACAATCTATGTTATCAATAATAAATTGAATAAGCTTTTTCCTGAGTTCGTGGGTTAATCCCGTTCCCAGGTATACCTTTTGCTCGGGCAGGTACTCGATCAATATAACCTGTTCTAGCTTTTCGACCGTTGATTTGGTAGCGTCAGAATCTTCGGGAACAATAAAAGTCCGAGGGGTCAAAAAATCCTCCTCCTCTTCTTCTTCTATCTCCTACTTTCCCGATTCGGTCGAGGCTAGTGGATGTGATTGCTATTTGACTTCCTGTTTACCTTTGATGCTCAACCTTTCCGAGGTTGATAGTGTCGATATCGGTGTTACCTCATCGACCGCAAACATTTCCTTTGCAGCATGCTGCTCCCCGTATATTATTTTTACACCGTCTGACATCGGGAATTTCATCATTTGGTGGAGACTCGAAGGGACCGCCCCTCTTATTGTGGATCCAAGGCCTTCCGAGCAGGGCATTGCACCTCATGTCGCCCTTGATTACGTGAAACTTGGTATCTTGAATGGTTCCAACTACGTTCACCGGTAGAATAATCTCCCCTTTAGTTGTTTCATTGCCATATTGAAGCCGTTTAAGACCCGAGTTGCAGGTACGATTCGATTTTGTAGGCCGAGCTGATCCACGACCCTTGATCGGATGATATTCGCCGAGCTACCTGGATCCACTAAAACACGCTTAACTTGAACTCTATTCAATAAGATGGAAATTACCAGAGCGTCTTTGTGGGGCTGAGAAATGCCTTCTGTTTCTTCGTTGTTGAATGATAAAGTGCCTTCGGGCACATAATCTTGGGTTCGTTTTTCCCTAGTGATTGATACCTTAGTGCGTTTGAATATGGGTCCCTGTGGAATATCGACCCCATCGACGATCATATGAATGATATGTTGGGGTTCCTCCTGTTCACTTTTCCTGTTGGCGTCCCTTTCTCTAAATGATTCTTGGCTCGATCACTGAGGAACTCTCGAAGGTGGCCCTCATTGAATAGGCGGGCTACCTCTTCCCTTAATTGCTTGTAATCCTCGGTCTTGTGACCATGCGTGCCATGATACTTGCACATCAAATTTGGGTTTCTTTGGGAAGGATCGGTTTGTATGGGTCTGGGCCACCTAGTATCTCTGATCCTTCCGATTGCCGATACAATGCTTGATGTATCGATGCTAAAGTTATATTTCGATAGCCGAGGTGCCTCTGTGAGATCAGCATACTTGTCAAAATCACTTTTGCTCATAAGTCCCCGAGAATTCTGTCCTCGATCACTTCTTCGATCATTCCCGGTGGAATTGCATCCTGAACCATTGTTCTTTCGATTTGCGATATATGGTTGATATCGGTCTCTGTTCGACCTTGGCTCCCTGTCGACGTCCCTCTGGTTTTTAACTGCCAACATGTTTGGATGTACTGAACCGGAAGGGGCTCCTAATTGGTCGTCCTCGACCCTAATCTTCGATTGATATCGATTATGCATATCTGCCCAAGTTACAGCTGGATACTCGATCAAATTTTGTTTCAACTAACGTAATGCTATTGAACTCCGCTCGTTCAACCCTTGGGTGAAAGCTTGAACGGCCCAATCATCTGTGACCGGTGGCAACTCCATGCGTTCCATTTGAAATCGGGACACGAACTCCCTCAGCATTTCATTATCCCTTTGTCTTACCTTGAAAAGTTTTGATTTCCTTGTTGCGACCTTTTATGGCCCGGGCGTGTACCTTTACGAAAGAATCTGCTAACATGGCAAATGAGTCGATGAAATTTGGTGGCAGGTTGTGATACCAAATCATTGCTCCCTTCGAAAGGGTCTCTCCGAATTTTTTCAACAGCACAGATTCAATTTCATCATCTTTTAAATCGTTACCATTGATGGCGCATGTATATGAAGTGACATGCTCGTTGGGATCAGTGGTTCTATTATATTTGGGTATGTCTGGCATACGAAACTTCTTTGGAATAGGCTTCGGAGCCGCACTTGGAGGAAACGACTTTTGTACAAACTTCTTCGAATCCATCCCTTTCAAGATTGGCGGTGCCCCCGGTATCTGATCAACTCGAGAGTTGTATGTCTCCACTTTTTTATCGTTGGCTTCGATTCTCTTCTCCCCTGATTCAATTCTTTTGGTGAGCTCCTCGAGCATTTTCATTACCACAGGATCAGTCCCCGATTCTTTACCATTCGACCTTTCCGGTACTTACTCGGTACGTCGGGTAGTTTCCGGCTCGACCCTATTCGGAGCTCTATGTTGATTTTGTAACTGAGCAATAGTGGCTTGCTTAGCCTGAAGCATCTCGAATATCACTTGGAGATTGACTCCTTCGTCTCCTCTGCCCTGTGTTCCTTGACCACTAGATCGGCCTTCTCTGCGTACGCTCCCATCGAGATTTGCGCCTAGGTCCGCGTTTAGAGCAACGTGCGAACTGACATCGACTGGGTTGGCAACCGGTGCTCCCCCGAGATTAACCTGTGGCACCTCGACTCCTAGAGCAATCACATTTTCGTTTTCATCGNTATCATGTGTGAATGTGTTTTGTGAGTTTGACATGTTTTAACCTGAAAGCAAAGATACTTGACAAGAACATGCGTAAAATAGTGTGTTTTACTAGAATCATTACTGAACAATCACTATTATCCTTAGCCCCATGGTGGGCGCCAAACCGTTTACCCTAAAAATTGAGTAACAATTAAACTTATATTGTGGTTTTAAGGATATATGATTTGAACCAACACCAATTGATAAACAACGAATTAAATAGATAAATTGGATAATAAAATAAATCAAATCGGTCCGCAAACAAGACCTCGACCTCGATTCGAGATAGTCTCGAGGTTAGTTAATAAGAACAATGGAGGATGGAACAAACAACGATGAACAGTAAGTAAAACAAAGAAAGCAGCGTATATGTATATTCTTATCAGTGAGTAATCATTCTTGTCCTCTACAAGTGAATGGGATCCTTCTTTATATAATAGAGGAGTCCTAAATAAGGTACAACTCTAATAACGGAAATAGATCTCATGATTGGCACTAATAACTGCTTTGATTTGATCTGTTCCGGGATTTCCGCCGTGATCTTCGACCGATTACTGACATCTCGTCATTCTGTTATTACGCCTTACTCGAAGTCAATCATGCTTGATCTCGATTGTTGCTGGCCTCGATCTCAATGAACACTTCGATCTCCAGGCTTGATGTTCTATCTTCGAGCTCGATCTATTATGAGGTTACCCTCGAGGCAACTCTCATGTGCCCGATTTCGACAGTATACATTTCTCTTTGTTATAAAATTTTAAGTATCTTGGTGTCCGAACCAGCTGGCTCACACCTCGACTAAATCATCTGGCACTTGTTAGCCTCCACCAACACATAATTCTGAGTAAACTTTTACGTTTTTGGCAACTAGTTTAGACATGTAACGTTACTCCCATCCAACATTAGATAGAGTACTAGTTATTTAGCAAGTCTCCAACAAAATTCAACCATTTTTAGAGAAACAGGACCAAGGATGGAGAAGCACCAGTACTAAGAAGATCAAGGGGCAACCATAAATTTTTTTTACCTTTCTTTTTTATGTAAAGGGCAATTTATGAACACAGATGGCGCAATAAGCCGAATACATCAAGATCACAGTAAATCTATCACTCCACAGTCCACACCAGTGTCCTTGACCCTCCGCGCCAAATCTTTTATGTTTTTTAATGAGCATGTAAGAACAAAGAAGACCAAGTGCAGTGCGTGTTGATCACTAACTGAGAGATAAATATCATAGATGATGCACTTAACTCTTGTTTTCCTCTTTTTTCTCCTTTATTTTCCCCTGTTTAATAGTATAATGGAGGGGCAAAGTTGTAGCAAGTCTTCAGTCTCCCCTATTCTTATAAGATCTGGAGGTACCAGTAGCTCTCATGAGTAATGAGCTTCAACTTTTAAAGCTATATATCTTAGTTGAATAGTACCTGATGATGCATTCGGCTGTTCCAATACTTGCCAAAAGCTCCAGCTTCAGAAATCAACAGCAGTGTTATCCGAAAAATTCTTCCTTGACCCTTTCCTGAACCCAAAATAAAACTGTACCTCTCGACCAAAGCAAATTTTCCACAATATGTTGGTCTCAAGAATGCGGTTTTAGGGTGGCTTCAGAACAATAGGTATAGGACTTGGAATACTGCAAACATAAGGCAAGAAAGTTTCTGCAGTACAATAGAGGACTCTTTGGACTCTCCTCGACTGCCAAGCTTCAAAAACATGGTCAAGAAACAAAAGCATTATTGATACTCTTCCCACTCCTCACCTCATTAAAATACAAATTCACATCTCGCGAGATGGATACATCAGCTGCAGAGATTGTAATGTGAAAATCAGTGATAAATTATATACAGGGAGGAAGTCATCTAAATGGTTCGACAGGTTCAGTTTCTTCCAGAAGAATAGCGGCTTCAAAACAATCAGCAGCTTCCAATGCTGAACCTAAACCTTCCTCCTTGTAAAGCAGACCCAGATTATACCATGCAGAAGCATTCATCCGATCAAGCCTTAGTGCTTCCGTAAGAAGGCTTCGAATAATTGCAGGAGACTGTTTACCTATCTTCCTAAGCGTTACTGCAGTTGATACCAGACTTGGAACATGGGACGGATTAACAGCCAAAGCATTCCAATAGTCTCTCAGCGCTGCTTTATATAGGCCCTTCGATTGGTTAAGCAAACCTGAGTATATCACCAAAAATATACTCCTTGATCAGAATGGCATGCTAATTAGCATAAAGAGTAAATTGCACATAACGACACAAGTGTGAATAAACAGTGTTAAGTAGACATCAAATTTGCTATGCCCGCCCAAAGTAGGAACCAGTAAGATTATAAAGAAGTAGCTGAATCAAGAATGGGGGATGCATTTACCATCTTATAAAATTTTGCAAGGTGACATTAACAAACTATAACCGGCAGTAACTATTGATGCTGGAGCTGATAACCAAAAGAATGTAGGCAAACAAACAGTTGATTTCCCCACATCCACACACTGCCCGCACAGATGATATCATCAATCAGTTGAATTTTCCTGACCCTTATATTTGTATATAGCTGAAGCACCAGACATCTATGGAACTATGAACTATCTGTTGGTAAACACTAAAAAGCCTAGAAAACAATAGCCAAATTCAACATCCTTGGATATATAAGAGAGAAGGTTTAACGGAATTCAAGGAGTTATATGACTTGCAAGTTAAGTACGCAGCGGTGAAAGGGAAAATTCACATAATATAGGAACTTTTGTATAAAGTAGGTTCAGTGGGGAAAGCATCACAGAAAGGTTGAAATTATTCCTCTAAACTTGGGTATAGTTAACGTGGGGCTCTTTTAGAACTAAGTGGATCATCTAAAGGCATTCCAATAGAAGCGTAGTCCCATAATATCAGATAGAGTTTATAAAACTCTTAAGAGAGCAGATAAAAACTCTTTAGCACCGATGAATTTCTCCGTGACACTGGATAAATGATTCCAGTCCTATGAGGCACTGGTCTAACATAACATCGTCTGCCAAGAAAGTTCTCCCCTTCCACTGTCGCATTTACAGAATAGTCAAATTGACTATAATTGACAAGGACTTGTAATTATGTGTTTGTCGGTCTTCTCATGAATATACAACAACAAGAGTGAACACTTTGAGTTACATGCATGTGTTTGGAATAATGAGCACAGACAGGGGAAAATATGAGTGAGATTATATCTACCAGCAGTATACGATCTCCGAGCTGAATATGAACAAATGGCCTCAGTTTTGGAAAGGCACATCTCCGCATCTCGCCACTGAGATAAATTTATGTAAATGGAAGCAAGATCCAGCCAGATTTCCAGCTCCAATGTTCTGCAATGGTCTCCAAACTCCTGTTATGTATATAAAATCAAATTTTTATTTCTTCCTCCACAAAATACTGTTTCAAGAAAGTAAGGCAGCAAAAAGCGTTACACCAGAAAAGGAATTATCCCTAAGAAGGACAAGTGGACATTTAAAATATTAATCTGCTTAAGGTTTAAAATGAGGCTTAAGGAGAAGCGAACCAAATCAACTCAAAACTTTTCCTCCATCCTAAAAACCAAAGCTGGTTAGAAATACCAGAAGAAAAATCCTAACATTTATAACAATCACACTTCTAAAAGTCAGAGAGAGAGACTGATAAAGCCAATGGCATGGCCTTCCCCTCTCATACCTACCCCAACCCACCCCAACCCCACCCATATACACACACACAAAAAGAAGGAAAAGACTTTTCCTTTTTACCAAATCGAAAAGCTATATCATTCAGTTATGCAATACCAGACAATTATGCAATATGTAACCCAATGGAACAAACAGGAGACTTTGACTTTACATGAGAAGTAAAGACGTGCTTTAGCCTGCCAACGCCAATACGGAGTGTTTGCATGAGCAGCCTGGTTTAATTGAGACACACAATCTTGAAGCATCTCCAAGAAATTAGTTTTAGGCAGCAATAAGGCATGCTACAGGTGTTCAGTCCCCACTTAGTTCTCCCCCTTCTATCTAATTGTTTAATCTTTTCCTCTGTCCATACGCCTTGCACACTCCGCTACTCTTCGTCATCTTCTGTACTGTGAAGTCACCCATTTATTTTGCCTAGGAGATTATTTATCTATGAATGACAGGGTAACTTTGTTGGCTTTCGATAGCCATGATATTTTTATATTAGCAGACACAGCCAGAACAATTGTTAGCTAACCAGCTGGCTAATTGATACATAGTCCATATAAAAGAGTTCAACCTCTAAAGAGTTTATGTATAAAAAGCTTTATAGTCATTTTACTTGCAAGCCCATCACAACCGTTTCAAGCGTCAAATAAGACAGATGTAAAGAAGCTTATATGCTCCATTTCAGCTTGTAAGGACAAGACTCACTTACCTTGAGATTTTCCCCCAATCTGAAGCTTTTTCTCTTAACCTGAAGAATTGCAAGAAGCTGAGTATATGTTTCTATAGCATTTTTCACTTGATCCAGCGCAATTTGGAGTTTAGCTTTGGTCCTCAACAGTTCTCCATGATCCCACTTTCCACTTTGGTCTAAGGCAACATTAATAACAGTTTCAGCATCCATAAACCGTTTCTGAGCTGATAATACCCGAGCCAACAGCATCCACCCTTTCAAAGTACAACCACCTTCCAATTTAAGCAACCACTTTGCGTAATGGACTGCAGCATCCAACTTCCTTTGCTCTGCATTTTCTAGACAAAGATGATAAATGACATTAGCATCACTCATCTTTGTCAGTTTCCCAGCAGATTCAAAGGACTTAAGTGCTTCTGATTGTATCTTAACCCTCTCGGAATCTGTCGCCATTGCTCTAGAATGAGCTGAAAGTGAGAGGCCTAATACACAATTGGCAACACCCATCAACTGACTGCATCTTTCTTGCTCGATTCCAATAGCTGTATGAGCATAAATTATCCCCTCGTTTGCACAATCTGGGATTTCAGCACATAATTTTGAAGCCAATAACAAACCTGGAACACAAGTGTGATCCTCTGTACTAAACAGTTTCCGCAACAAGTCCAATGCAGCGAAGTCATCTTCCTCTCCATAATAGCATAGAGCTAAGATAAGATACATCTCTTGCCGATCTATAGTTCTGGGAAGCAACTCTTCTACTTTGTTAGCCAAAGCCTTTAGACCCCCTGATATAGATAATGCATATGAGAGATGGTCAAGAATTGAAGGGTCCCACTCAATCCTTTGTAGAGAAATCTTTTTCAACAAAATCATCAAGAGAAGAATAGCCTCTTCAATATTGTTTCTGGGGACAAATGAACCGTCCATTTGAGATCGGAGATTAGGTGGACATGATTCACCTCCACTATAGAGAAGAAAAATGGCAAATTCTTTCTGAATCCTTGCAGTAGCCTGGATCTCAAGTTTCCATGGATGCAGAAGAGCTCGGCGGTATGACATAATTGCTTCTCGAGGAGCATCTGCAAGTTTGCATAATTCAGGGAGCAGCTCAACAGCATTGCTGAGAGTGTCCTGCAATTTACAGTCACTACCAAAGGTTTCAGGAAAGCCTGCTGGAAAAGAAGATTCGAGAATGTCCAGAACTACTGTACATGATTGAGAAGCTTCTGCAAAAATATATATTGGAAATGAATTAGCTGAATAGGGTGAGAACTTTCAGGTAGATATTTTCTCTTGTCACCTTGTCCATACAATCAAACATACATACACATTGCAGAATAAACATTAATCACAAGTAAAAAGGTATATGAATCAGAACACCTAATTAAAGGACTTGAGCACGTATTTGATGAAAATTAACAAAGAATGACTGTGCATAATGCTAATAACCTGATAAAGAGTAAAATTTTTAGGATAACCTGATATACTTGGGATGGGAGAGTAGCAGAATTATAGATTACATTTTTTGTTCTCCATATTCATCAAGAGTATGAAATCAGTACGTTGTCAGAAAATCCAAAAGCATAAAAGCAACGCGATCCAAAGAGTTTTCAGGATAATTTATTGGCTCAATTAATGGATAAGTGAAGGATGCGTCAACAATATTAATCAACTATGCCTCAATCACGAAATAATTGAGAAGTGAAGAATGGGTAAAATAACAAAAGTACAGACAGCTAGGGCAGACATATAAAAATTTCAACATGAGCATGTCATGGAAAACTGATGAGAAAGCCAACAATTTCCAGAAAGAGGAAACATTAGGGAAGATAGTAATAGAAGAAAAAAATTAATAAATGAAGCAAACTGAAAAAGCTTTTTCATATTGAAGATGACTGTTGCACGAAGACGTGCTAATACAGATATTGACTAAACACATACTCTACCTTTGTACCTCTGAAGCGCCTGCAACGATTTTGCTTTGAGAAAGACTGCTTCCAGGAGCAAACTCGCAGCATTTATGGACATTGGGGGCGTAGAAAAACTCTGTGAACGTCTCTTTTGAGTTTTCACTCTTTCGGCAAGGGCGATTTTCAACTTAGGAGTCACCGAGGCAATATCTATCCCTTCAAAAACATGTAGAGCAGCCTCTATATTCCCCTTTTGGTATTCATATCTTCCTAGTAATGCTCTTGCTTCCTAGAAAAATATTGATGTCTTTAGTTAAATTGCCGCCAAATGGAAATTCTGCTACATGCAAATTGAGCTTTGAAGTATTTAAGAATGACATGATAAACGAAAGGTAGACTTAACATTGCAGGCCCAAAGGGAGAAGGGAACAAGAAGCCCTTCAAAAGGAAAGGAAACGATTTGCATGTAATAAAGCAGGGAAGTCACCTCATAATTCAAACAACCACTCTCACGCAAAGATGATTCAGCTTCTTCAATATTGCCAGTATCAGGCTTTAGGCCAGCTTTTCCAGCTTGTGATGAATGAACACTTGCTGTGTAATCCTTAGTTGCAAGGGATTCAGGAGATGGGATTATTTCGTCCATCAGAATTTGTTCAGACGAGCATAGGCAATTCATTATCTTGCGCACTTTCAAACTAGTCCGAGGTCTTCCTCTTTTGTTGACCCAATTAACATTCTTCATATTCTACAGTCTCTCTCACAATCCTTCATTATCAGCAATGCCGCCAACAACAACGAATTAAGCTCATTTGACAAGGAAAATAGCTAGAATTACAACTACCACTGTATTTTAGTATCGCAACAACGAGATAACAAAAAGAAAAGGATAAGAGGATTCAGATCAAGAAGATCAATCATATTAATGCCTCCCCTCAATAAATTTACTGCTTTGCCAGCCATATATTTCTTTCCTTTCTTTCAGAGGGAGGGAGATCAATTGAAATATTTTTCAGCTGTTACCAGAAGATTGCAGTCAATTGAAACAGTTTCTGTCAAAACCCAACATCCCACTATTGTAAATAACTTTCCCCCAAAATAATAAATTACTGTTATTATAATCCCTTCTGTCCAGTGACACCATTTAGTTTGGTCAGTCACCATCTAAACCAAAAAGTGAAAAAGTTAAAGCACATTGACAAAATTCCTATATTATCTACATCCATCTCCAAACATAAATTCTGTCCCTTAAATGCTATGAGCCTATGACCATCAATAACAAAATGGTTCTTCTTTTTCCTTTTTTCTAAGTCACATAGAAAGTAGTGGAAAACAAAAACACCTTTAGATACCAAGTAAGTAAGTTTCAATCAGAAAGAATTATGCTCCATATTTGCAAAACATCATTATAATCAACTAGACATGACCAATTTAGGAGGTCTAAGAGAATGAGGGGCCCATCATATACCAAGAAAAGGAAAGAATTGGAATAGGAAGAAGGAATTATACCTTTCAAAATTAGGTGAATAAAAGAAGAGGAATTGGAAACAAGACAAGCCAGCCACTGCAGTTCCCATACTTTTTATCTCCAATCAAAACTCCAATCTTTCTGTGATCAACCAAAGAATCCAATAAAGCTTCAAACTTTTCTTTTTCTTATCTTGGGAAATTTCTCCACTTTATGTAAATTACCACAATAAGAACACAGTTCAAGAACAGTCTCAGAATCCAATAAATGATTTGGGTTTGTGTGTAGGGACACTTTGAATAGGTGGTTGAGCTGAATCCACCAAAAAGGCTATATGGGCACTCTCTCTATTATCTCAAAATTCTCCACTTCTGTGTGTAAATTATAGTAATTACTAATAACACAGTTCCAAGAACAGTCTCAGAAACCAATGATGATATTGGGTTGTGACTTTAAAAGGGGTGGGTGGGTGGTATCCACGCAAAAGTATGTGGGCACTTGTGCTGAAATCGTAAACAAGAAGATTCATATCGTTAGGAATAAAGTAGTTAGTAAAAAGACAATTCTTGAATTTAGTAATCTAAAGTTTCTGCCACTTGGAATTTACTCTGTCAACGGACATTGTTAAAAATTAAGAAAACGGTCTTTTGGTAGCAGTAACTGACAAAAGTTAATCTCAATTTCATCAATTCTAGAAGCTGAAAAATAATGAATGTTGTCTTTTTATGGAGTAAATGCTTTACCTAATCATGTGCTGGTCTTTCGTCAATTACTAGCAATTTGACAAGGTTCCTAGTGAAGTTTTTTTGAGATGTCCGAAAGTGAAAAGTGTTTCGGTAGCTTATATTATGGTGATAAAGGACATGTATCATGGAAATAAGACTCTGTGTTAGGATTGGGGCGACTTAGAACGTTTTCCGGTTGGTATGGGATTACACCAAGGATCTGCGCTCAGCCTGTTCTTATTTGCTCTGCCGATGGACCTTTGACACACCATATTCAAGGGGAGGTGCCATGGTGTATGTTATTCGCTGATGATATAGTTCTGATCGATGAGACGCGAGACGGTATTAACGAGAGGTTGGAGGTTTGGAGCCAGACCCTCGAGTCTAAAAGTTTCAAGTTTGTTAATTGAACTAAATTGAGAGAGCTAATTGATCATTTCTACACATGCAATCATGTATTCTAGCATTGATACAGATTGTCAACAATGTACAGTTGAGAAGAAGAAGAAGAAGAAGAAGAAGAAGAAGAAGAAGACGAGAGAGAACTGGAGACGAGGACAATGAATATTCTAGAATCTCGTCTCTCTAACTAACTAACTGATTTGTCATTCTATTATACTCTTATACACCGACCTTCTCCTTTGTGTATTTGCATATTGCCCCCTTCCACTTACTACTATCTCTCATTCAGTTCCTATTGTTGTAGTACTCCCCCTCAAGCTGGTAAGTGGAAGACATCTTCTACTCCTAACCTGGATAATAGGGATTGATGTTGTGTTGCACTCAAGCCATTTATCATTAGGTCTGCTAGTTGTATTTTTGTAGGTATGTACTGGGTTGTGATTAGTCCATTCTTGAGCTTCTCCCTGACGAAGTGACAATCTATTTCAATATGTTTAGTCCGCTCGTGAAATATATGATTTGTAGCTATTTGCATAGCTCCCTTGCTATTTCAATGCAAGTTGACTGGTACTTCCACTTTGTTTCCTAGTTCCTCCAACAGTCCAACCTTCCAGATCCTTCTACCATACTTCTATACTCTGCTTCTGCCGAGCTTCTACTAATTGTCTGTTGCTTCTTGGACTTCCATGACATCAGAGAATCCCCAAGTTTCATAACATACCCTGTCGCAGATCTTCTTGTGTTGGGATAGGCTGCCCAGTCTGAGTCACAAAAGGCTGTGAGTGTTGATGCATGTCCTCTTCTCAGTAGTATCCCCAATCCATGTGTTGATTTGATGTATTTTACAACCTTCAAAGCTGCATCTAGGTGAGACTTCTTAGGTTGTTGCATGAATTGGCTCAATACCTGCACTGCAAAGCAGATGTCTGGTTTTGTCATTGTGAGGTAAATTAGATTCCAAATAAGTCTTTGATAGGCTCCTACATCTTTAAGTTGAGGATCATATGTTCTTCCAACATGACTGTCATAATCAACAGTTGTTAGTTTCTGATTTAACTCAATTGGAGTTGCTACTGGCTTGCAACCACTCATGCGTGCATCAGTGATTAACTCCATTGCATATTTTCTCTGATTCAGCAACACTCCTTTCTTTGATCTCATAACTTCAATTCTCAGAAAATATTTTAGTTCCCCTAGGTCTTTCACCTTAAAGGAACTATGTAGAGTGTCATTTGCTTGGTCAATGAGAAATTGCTCACTTCTAGTTATTAAAATATCATCAACATAAACCAAGATTATCACAATGTCTCCTTCATGCCTCTTGGTAAACAAAAAATGATAATCGGCACTCTGAGTGTATCCAGCTTGTAGGAGTGTATTTGTGAGTTTGATGTTCAATTGCCTTGATGTCTGTTTCAATCCATAAAGGGATTTCAACAGTATACACACCTTGTACTCCCAATGTCTGTGAAATTCCTGAGGAAGATCCATGTAAACCTCTTTAATTAAATCACCTTGAAGGAAGGCGTTGTTAACATCCATTTGAAACAAGGGCCAATCTTTGGAGGCTGCAACACTGATCACAGTCCTCACAATGACCATTTTGGCCATTGGAGAAAAAGTCTCATGATAGTCTAACCTTCTTGTTAGGTATAGCCCTTGGCAACCAACCTTGTCTTGAACGTATCCACTTCTCCATTGGCCTTATGCTTGATTTTGTAGACCCATTTTGAACCAATGGGTTGCTTCCCAGCAGGGAGATCTACTATCTCCCATGTATTATTTTCCTCAAGAGCTTTAATCTCTTGTTCCAGTGTAGTGATCCAATTTTGATCCTGAGCAGCATCCTTGAAGGATTTTGGTTCAGTCTATGTTGAGAACACTCCTAGGTAGGACTGATATGCTAGTGACAAATGATGGTAGGCAATGTGTGAAGACAAGGGATATTTGTTGCTACCTGATGGTTTAGTATGGATTACATAATCCTTGTGCCAAGCAGGAGGAGCCGAATTCCTTTGAGGCCTGGTGGATCCTGAAGGTTGAGCTAGTTGTGTCTCTGTATTAACAAAAGGTGCAGCTGGTTGAATCTTTGATTCAGCTAGGACAGTTGCAGATAAGACTGCAGGAATTGTTGGCTTAAGCACTTCACCAACGTCTACCTGGTTTTCTGTCTCCCCTTCAAATTGGTGAACTTCTAGTTCAACGTCACTAAAAGAGGGGTTCTGAGCAATTAACCCATCCTCAGAGGGTGCAAGACTGTTATCATGATCCTCCTGATGTTGTGTCGGTGCAAAATGTACAGGGGGTGCTGTTAGTAGGTCCTTGTTATTGTGTTGGTGAAGAGTGGATAAGTAGAGTGTCTGGTGATAGTAGTTGAGTGTGAGCTGGACATTGAGTGAACATGTCATCTTCAATGTTGCATATGTCTATTAAAGGGAAGATGTGCTCCTGAAAGGTAACATCTCTACTAACAAGGAAACTTATATTTTCCAAATCATATAACTTGTATCCTTTTTTAGTGTCAGAGTAACCAAGAAACACTATCTTCTTGGCTTTGGGAGCAAATTTGTCCCTTCTTGGCAAGCTTCTTGCATAACCCAAACATCCAAAGACTCTGAGATGTTCAATACTGGGATTGTTTTTATACAATACCTCATGTGGAGCTTTTCCTTGTAATACTGGTGTAGGCAGTCTATTTATTAAATAAACTACAGTTCTCACACACTCTCCCCAAAATTTGATAGGGACACCACTCTGAATTTCAAGGCCCTTGCCACCTCCAAGATGTGCTTGTGCTTTCTTTCCACCGCGTCATTCTGCTGTGGAGTGTAAGCACAACTACTTTGATGTATAATACCAAGTGAAGCTAGTAGTTCATTGCACTTAGAATTGAAAAACTCTGAACCATTATCAGATCTAAAAACTTTCACAGTAGTAGTAAATTGATTCTTTATTATGGAAAGAAAATTCTGCAACACAACTATCACTTCACATTTGGAATGTATCAAACAAACCAAGTGTACCTACTAAAATCATCTACAATAGTGACAAAGTATTGCTTCCTATCATATGTGGACATCTTGTAAGGTCCCTAGACATCTAGATGAATTAATTAGAAAATAGATGTTGATCTAGTAATACTTATAGGAAATTGTAATCTGCATTGTTTAGCTAAAGGACATATATCACAATCACTAACTTCATTACTGCTAACTTTATTCTTTATACTTGGAATGTGTTGTACAGTCCTCATAGCTGCATGTCCCAACCTCAGATGCCAGAGAGTAGATTATGTTCCCTTTCTCTGAACCATACCAGCTAATATTGCTACCCTGCTTATTCAGCAAATACAAACCTTCTCATTCTCTACCAATCCCCAGTACCTTCCCACTAAAGAGTTCCTGAAACAGACAGAAATCAGGGTAGAAGCTGACCCAACACCTGAGATCCCTAGTAAGGTTTGACACTAATAATAGATTGAACTTAAAATTAGGGACATGTAACATATTCTTTACCCAGTGATCTGCTAAAATTTCTGCATTTTCAGTATGTGTTATCTTTGCTCTTATTCCAGTTTGTAATTGCACTCCATTATTGCTCTGACTTTTCATACTTTTAACATTACTTATGACCTCTTTATTGTGAGTAATGTGATGTGTAGCTCATGAATCTATTATTCAATCTGTCATTGAAGCACTGGACAATAAGAAAATTATACCTGCCATGTTAGATGAGCATTGTCCAGCTGGTGGTTTGTTTAGCAATCCTACCAGCTGACTGTATTGGTCCCCTATCAGTACATGACCTTGAAATTGATTCATAGTTGATCCCAGTACTTCAGTGCTTGCTGCACTAGCATAAGTCTTTGATCCTCCATTTTGAAACTTATTTTTGCTTTTGAAATCTGCTGGGTAGCCAATGATTTTATAACAATTTTCTTTTAAGTGTCCTTTGTAGCCACAGTGCTCACAGACCAACCCAAACTTCTTAGGCTTGAATCCCTGAGTCTTTCCCGCTACTCCTAGTGATCTTTCACTTTCCTCCTGAGTTACTATTGCATAGGCCCCGTTCACTAAAACAACTAGTCTTCTCATAAGAACATTGCTACTAACATTGTTGTAACTCTCATTCAAACCCATGAGAAATTGCAATAGCCTAATCTGCTCTAAAAGCTCAAGAGAAGGTCGAGATTCCTCATAATCATAGGAAGACTTGGGGGCTAGCACATCTAATTCATTCCACAAATCACTCATTCTAGAATAATAGGTTGTTACTAAATTTGTACCTTATTTTAGTGTAGCTATCTCTGTCCACAGGTGATAGATTCTTGTTAAACTACACCTATCAAACTTCTCTTTGAAATCGCTCCATACTTTCTTTGCATTTGATGCAAAAACAATCGAAGGCATCAAATCATTCGCAATTATGCTACCAA